TCAAAGGGAGATAATATTGTACATATAAGGGAATAGACCTTCATAGATGATATATGGATTGGGCTTGGGAGATGCACCCAAGATATGGGGAGCCTTAGAGGGGTATGGAATCTAGAGACTTCTAGAAACTCTTCAAGGGTGATATCTAGACCTGAGAGCAGATCGGTTTATAATGATCCTTCAATATCTTTGGACATATAGCATTCCTTATGGGTTCCATATCTACTAAAGTCCTTCTAAGGTTAAGAGAAGCTTGAACAAGATCCAACAGCTTTCCTTTCCTTCATTTGTAGGGCAGAAAACGAAAGCCAAAACGAAGTGAATGCTGGGAAAGAGGCTAAAACAGAGAGAGAGAGAGAGAACGAATCGAGGACGATGAGCGAGGAAACCGCTGATGAAGACGATGACCATTCAGCAGCAGGAGCATCATCAAGGAATCGGAGGCATCATCAAAAACGCGATGGACCAACATCAGGAGCAGCAGCGGCAGTCCGTATCTGTGGCGATAACGCAATTTTTGTGTTGAATCCTGTTTTTATTCCCACAGTTTTGCCGAGGCTTACATCTGACGGGGGACGTGGCCCCGGTAGCCCCGGTAGCCCCGATGCGGCAGCTACAGCAGCGGTGCCGGTGCAGGGGCAGGGGCAATGCCAAAGGGGAATCACGGGCGCATGGTCATCATCAAGGCGATCGCTCTCTGCCAGCGTCGCTGTCGTGGTCTCAAAATAATAAGATGACATCCAACACTTCTTGTGCCGAGGCAGAGCCTCACAGGCAAGGGGCACCGCAGTCTCGGCATTGGCCTGGACGGCCCTCCCCTAGCCTTACCCCCATATCTGTGTGCTGTTCCCCTTGCAACCCCCTGCCAAGTTGCCGCCGCCACCGCCGCCGCTGCTGCTGCCAGCCGCAGTCCGTTCCAAATATTTTTATATATAAAAAAAAAAGAATCCCATTTTTTTCCTCGCATAATAAAACTTTTTCTGCATGCTTTTCATTTCCTTCGAGATACCAGAGAGGCACCAACAACAACAGCAACAACAACAACAACGTCAGCGGGAGGGGCAGCCACAGCAACAGCAGCGACGCAGACAGCAGCACTTGGCTGCCACACAAAGGAAGATCACCTCTGACGACGACGACGACGACGCAAGGACTTGTCTGCATTGAAATGAATGTAGGTAGAGGTACGAGTACTCGTACTCGTACTCGTACTCGTCCTCAACCCCTTCCAAGTACCTGAACCTCTCCCCGACTCTCTAGCGGAGGATGGACAATGTCCAGGGGTCCGAAACTTATTGAGCTCCGCTGATATTTCAGTGCCTCTTCTTACCCCTCTCGCTTTTTGTCGCTGGTGGTTGCTCGGCAACGGGAGCTCTGTGGAGACGCGACCGCCGATATCTCGAGAAAGTTTAGAAATCATTTAGGGGGTTAAGTACGATTATGGGCCGTCTCTGGCCCTCTCAAGACCAACCCAAGAGCCCTTAATCGACTCTGTCCTCCAGTAACCCATTTTAGTGCTGGTCAGGCTGAAAATAGTTGTAGAGAAGCTCCTTGTTTACCCAAAATCGTATAGAACGGAGTCGGAGACAGAGACTGTCGGCCACAGGAAGTGGATGGCTAGCAAGGACGATGCCCAGCAGGGCTGAAAGAACGAAACTCAATGCGACATTTGCATTTTTAATGCATACCCACATGCGAGTATAAAACGTTGTTTTTTATGAGTTGATTTTGATTTGCGTACTTCTTTATTTAATTTTTTTCGGACTGGTTCGTATCGTCTAATTTTTTTCGTCGGTGGTTCCTTCTTTTTTTTTTTTTGTTTTTTTTTGGTTTTTACCAAAAGAAAGGCGGTCGCTTGACCATCTCCTGCTCCTTCCTTTTTGGGCATTGTCTGTACGGCGGTGTCACCTTCGAGCAACAGCCAGAGGAGCGCTGACCACGCAGACAAGACAACACAAGGCACACACAGGCGCACAGGCACACAAAAAGCTAAGCAGAAAAGTACACAGAAGAAGGAGCCAGTATCCTTTTGTGATATATGAGTAAGTTGTACCTGAAGGATGCGCTGAGCCATTGAGCACACACACACACACACACACACACACAGAGGGAGAGGACGATCCAGGCAAGCTGCACCACCACCAGCACTACGGTCATCATCTTGGCTTGGCTTGGCTTGGAGTTTATCATTTGATATCGAGCACAGCGTGATTATATTGTGGATCATATAAAGTGGGTATGGGTATGGGTATGGGTATGAGGATGAGGATGAGCATGATGACCGCACCCGTGGCCTGGACACCCTATGTGCACCCCTCGAGACAGAGACAGAGACAGAGACAGAGAGAGTCTTGGCCAGGCAGAGGAGCAGCAGCACCCCTGCTCTGATCTGCTTGGGTCGTGGTCTTTGTCTTATGGCCATGGCTGGTGGGAAAATTTATCTAAATTGTCGATGGCGTTCTTTTTTTTTTCTTCTCCTGAATTTGATTCTTTTGCAAAAAGGATTTCTCTTTCTTTTAGTTTTTTTTTTTTGCATTTTTTTATTTTTGTCATATTGTGGAATGTTTTGTCGTCACTTTTGGAATGAAAAAAGGATGCAAAAAATGATGCGCCAGCAAATGGCCAAAGTCCATAAATTAAGCCCGGGGCAGGGACACACGAGGGGACGATCGATGGCGAGGAAGTAGAACAAAAAGCTGGAAATTGGATGAAGGTGTTAAAATATAAAGCGCCCTTGTTCCGCATCCTGTCAGGGCACGGTGCGATTCGATTGCCAGGGCAACGCAAAAAACTGCTGCTATTCTAAGTTTAGCCGAGAAGCAAACAGACGGCGAAACAGTTTCCAAACAGTTTTCCAATTAGCTGTCAAAAAACAAAATACAAAAAAAAAGGAAAACGCGCGACCACTTGACGTGGGGGAGGGAGGGGAAAATCAACAAACTAAAGCGTTGGCTGTTGGGGGGGCCGCCACTGTGTAGCGGAGTGTGACACCAGGGTTGGCAATTATTTTTAACGAACTTCTATCCACACACCGAAGGACTGGGCAAAGGAGCTCCTGGGTCAATGTTCGACAATTGCCAGGGGGAAAATATATATATCGCGCATACGCCCTGGCTGACGCAGAGCTCTCCGTCTCCCTCTGTTTGTGGGTCAAAGCGATCTCAGGCAACCGGATCGTGATGTAGATTAAGATCCATTGAAAGTAAAACAAGCCACAGCTGACGTGTGCGCGAAAAGGGTAGAGGTAAACGCATAAATCTGAGCAGTTGCAACTGCAACTGCGACTGCAATTGCAGCTGTGGCTGTGGCTGCGGCTGCGGCTGCTGTACCGCTGCCCGACATCCACGCAATCAACGCATTAAATCAATTTTAACTTGGCCTACTTTCCGCATCCACATGCGGCGAGTGGTTCTCTTCCTAAAACAAAAGCACAAACGGCTATGCGGACCCTTGGTCGACTGGAGGCAGAACGGCAACAGCCGTTAGCTTCGCCAGAAGTGGCAAACTGCAGCTTGCCACAGCCTGGGAAAGATGCAGCCCAGGACTGGGACTGCGACTGGGACTGGGACTGTGACTGGGGATGGAGGCAGACCCATTGAAATGCAATCTGCGCACAAACGGCGACGGCAGCCACATTTTTAGTTTTGCCATTTATTTTTTACGGATTTTTGTTTCTTTTTGCCGCCAAATGAATGCGAAATATTTCACCTACATTTCGAGGCAAAGTGCACCTATGAGGCGCCCACGAATAAGCGGAAATTCAACAGGAAAAATATGAACTGCCAGCATTTTAAGGGACTTTAAGTAAGCCCTAAGAGAGCAATGATTTGAGTTGTCCTTTTAAGCTACTCTCCAGCCTAAATATACAATATTTTATCCCTTTTAAGACCTTTCATCTGGCAAAGTATCTTCTGATTCGATTCAGGGGTCTGGGGGCATCCAAGCGTTGCCCGCGACCGGCCACTGCCACATATTACATGGCTATTTACTTAACCCATTAATTCTACAGTCGAAATAAAAATATGAAGCCTGGTGCTGACATGGCAAGGGGCTAACCGGGCACCAGGCGGTGCAGGGTAGGGGCAGGGACCACATGCAGCCGGCAAACGTGGACCGAAGAGCATGCTCAAGTGCCATGTACTTGCATTTGCATTTGCATTATGTAAACGCACTGGGGCCACAGTCAGGACGGGGCCACAACCGGCCAAAGTGAAGTTGGAATGTGGTTTACATAAGCCAGGACTGGCTGGACCGAACCGACCTACGCCAACAGTCGTAGACCATAAAACCGAAAGGAGTGCAAAGAACCCGAGGCGGCTCGGGGACGGGTATGGGTAGGGGTAGGGGTACGGGTACGGGTACGGTGGCATAACTTAATGAAGAGCCACTGCTGTCAGTCGCTTTATGTAACCATAGAACCGGGGCATCGTCATCGTGGTGTAATTCGAGATCCAGATGGCCAGCGGATGGCCAATAAACACAGCCCTAAGCTGCTCTAAGCCTCTTCCAATCTTCCCCTTCTAGAGGGGCCTTGAAGTGCCTATAAGCTCGGGCTCAGGCTCAAACGAAGCTAGCAACAGTGAATGGAGAATCTTGTGGTGTTTCTGGCCTTGCCTTTCTCTTCCATTACCAACTAATTTTGATTACATTTTATGGTAGTGACTTTTTACAATTTTTAGAATATTCTGCAGGGGTTAAAGGTTATGATACACTGGGAGAAACAAGCCCATATTTAAATTAGTATTCTGAGAAATTAAATAGAATTGCCTTTGGTTTAAGCATAAATTGGGAACATATTTTAAAATAAATATAATAAATGCAATTTGTATTTAATATAAGTATAAACTTATTTGATTTATATATGAAATATATTTAGATCAAATAATTTTATGAAAAGAATTTCATTTCTCTATAATGGTCTAATTCTAAGTATCTTTAAGGACTCTCAGGGGGGTGTTAGGGGTGGCCTAGTGAAAATTAATTAAAATCCTCTCACTCACCGGTATATTCCCGTTGTCTGGACAGAGAGCTGCACACGTCATGGTTGTAGGCACGATACGAGCTTCGGCCACTGTTTTTGGCAGCTGAAAGAATATACAGAAAATTAATTGGGTTGCAAGGAGTTATAGTTCCTAAAATACCTAGATATTGAACGTATAATCGTACAGTAATCGATGATGGGAGTTTTGTGATTTTCACCGCTTCGCTCTTGGGTCACACCAAACACCCAGATAAGACTTATCACAAAGGAAATATAAGTCAAACCATAAACAAATATTAGCCCCTCAGTTCTTGACTCATTTTGTGTAGAGATGGCTGCGAAAGTGGATTTCTCCGAGCTGCAAATCAGCCAGGTTCGTCTACCGCCTAGAGGAGAGGCACTTCCACTAATCAAACCCTTCCTTGGACAGAGGATCGGAAGGGGGGGCTTTGGTGCGGTGTACAGGGGCTGGTGCCGGGACCAAAAGATCGCCGTGAAAAGGTTCTATGAGGCGATCAGCAAAAACATAGAAAGGGAAATCACACAGCTGTCGCGAGTGGCCCATGAGAACATTGTCAAGTTGTTCGGGATGGCCACCTATCAAGACGAGACCTACTTGCTGATGGAGTACGTTGAGGGCGGCTCCCTTCACGACTTTTTCTATGGAACGGTGCGCAGGGAATACTCCGTGCAGGAGGCCCTCCGCTGGGCTCTCCAGTGCGCCGAGGTATGTATGTGGCTGGGGTTCGGCAAAGGGTTGAATCTTTTTGTCCTCCGCCCAGGCTGTGGCCTATCTGCATGCCATGACCCCAAGGCCGATGCTGCATCGTGATATCAAGCCACACAACATGCTGCTGACGGGCATACCCGGTCGCCTGAAGATCTGCGACTTTGGTACTGTGACCGACATGCAGAGCTACATGTCCAACGCCCGTGGTACCGCGGCCTACATGGCCCCAGAGGTGCGTATTCCCCCGCGGACTGGTCCCCTTCTTTAATCTGTTCCGCCCGCAGGTGATATTGGGCAAGAGATACACGGATAAATGCGATGTCTACAGCTGGGCCGTCATGCTCTGGGAGCTAATGTCCCGCCGACCGCCCTTCAGTCACATGGAGAACCCCAATTTTATAGCTGTTATGCTGGCGACTGGTTGTGGTACGTCAGTTCCATCAGATCTCCAGCTATCATTCCTCATTTGGATGTACGCTCTGTCCAATCCCCAGGCGAGCATCCCGATATGGATGCGGTAAGATCCGATTGTCCTCAGACCATCAGGGAGTTGATCAGACGATGCTGGTGCTTCAAGCCCGAGCAGAGACCCTCCATGCAACAAGCTGTGAAATTCTTAAACGAACTGGGGGTTTCTTCAGACGATAAGGACTTTGTGTACATCCTCGATCAGGACACAGTGGCCGTGGTATCCGTCGGCAGAGAGGTAGCCCCCTCCCAAGGGATCATAGCTGTAGAACCCGAGGCTAATCTTGTCTTGTAACTCTTTTAGAACCACGGCTCGGGCTGGCGAAGGGTCGTCCATATATCCTTCTGGCGTAAACAATATTCGGCGGTCAGGATGAGCCTTCCCATTGCCGAGCGGGAGGCAGTGCGAGTGGCCAAGCAGGCGGAACGGGAGATCATCAGGGCGGCTCGAGATGTCGGGCGGGAGACCCATCGAGCTGCCCAGGACACTGGCAGGGAGACGGCGAGAGCTGCCCAGGACGTTGGCAGGGAGACGGTGAGAGCTGCTCAGGATGTTGGGCGGGAAACCGCTAGAGCTGCCCAGGACACTGGCAGGGAGACGGCAAGAGCTGCTGAGGATGTTGGGCGGGAAACCGCTAGAGCTGCTCAGGACACTGGCAGGGAGACGGTGAGAGCAGCCCAGGACACTGGTAGGGAGACGGCAAGAGCTGCCCAGGACGTTGGCAGGGAGACGGCAAGAGCTGCCCAGGATGCCGAGCGGGAGACAAGACGGGCACTCGAGAATGCCGAGCGGGAGACGAAACGAGCACTCGAGAATGCCGAGCGGGAGGCTATACTGGCCAAGGAGAAGATCGCCAACGAGGCCAAGCGGCTGGCCGACAAGGGCAGGAAGGTCTTGAAGAAGTTTCGCAAATTCTAATCCCTTTAGTGATAAGTCATACGCTATGCTAATGTGTGGAAAATGATTAATAAAGCTGGGCTGCCTGCGGAGAGAGTCCTTTTTGATCCCTTCAACGACTCCGTCTCACGCTCGCACCAATGCAGATGCAGATGCAGATGCAGATGCAAATGCAAATGCAGGCTGCAGGGGTAGGCCTATGAAAAGCTTAGACTGCATTAAGCACGAAGCAAAGCAAAGGCAAGGAATCGAAAGGAAAGGAAAGGGGCGGAAAGGCAGGGCAGAGCAGGGCAGGGCACGGCACGGTGGGGAGAGCTGTGAAGGATGTGAACAACAAGAAGGATGACGGCGGCGGACATGACAGCGAGGCGATGTTCCTTGCTTTGAGGAGTGCCAGGGTCGACGTGGGGAGGAGTACAGTATGTACCAAGCGGTGCATTGCTGCTCCTGGCACAGCGCGACTCCTTAGCGTTTTTTGCATTGTGTTGCTTTTCTCATACGTTTCTATGCGTGTGCTTGTATAGCGTGTGTGTGTGTGTGTGTGTATTTGTGACCGGAAACTGCCATTTAAAGTGCATTTTGGAGAGGAGTCGTCGGAGTCTCAGCTGAGAGACGAAACGGGACGGAACGAGCTTCACTTGTGTGTTAAATGAAAAGAAGAACTTTGTCCTCCCCTCTCTCCTTCCCTCTCTCTCTTTCTCTGCTTCGTCTGCCTCTGCCTCTGCCTAACCCCAATCGCCTCTCTCTCTCGTTTTGTTTTTATGTTTTTTTTCCGCTGCTGTTATTTTTGCATGCCATCAAGCAACTCCTTTTGTGTCGGGGCCCCCTACTCCGACTCCTCCTCCCCTCCTCCTTGGAGCCAACACGTGTAATCCAACTCCTTTTAATTACATTCAATACCCCGGCCACAGTCGTCCGTCCATTTGCCAAGGTGTTGGCAGGCAGTTGCCTTTTGCTCTGCGCTCCTCGCTCTTCCCGCCTCTCTCTCATTTAACGCCTCCTTTGTGCTCCTCTCCATCTTTAACCTTCTGCCCAAATATCGATTTTCAGCTTTAGCTTTGGTTTAGGTGCAACTGCTGGCAAAACAGGGATGCGATCCGAATCCGGCCAATACTCGCACCAATCGCCATCCCATTGTAAGGCCAACGAGGTGTTAAAACATTTTGTAAAAGCCAAGATTGCGGGCATAGCCTGCTGCTGGTGCTGCTGGAGTTCCTGCGGTTGAAATGCAATCAAGTGTCACTAATCGCGATCGGGGGGAGATCATATTTGCAGGCGCTGCACTCTCGGCTCCGCCGCAGATCCAATCTGCACTCCCGCCCTGCCGTAAGTTGAGACTTGGACTGTGACGGACAAAAGAATAATAATCTACAAATCTATAGATGATTATTAGGATCCTCCCCTCTACTCAACTCATTTTAAAGGTTGCTTTTACGATATCTTTCCAGCATGTTCGCGTTGGTCATGCGGCAGCACCCCTCGGTCGGTTGGCCGGGAGGAGAGCTGCCTCTTGCTGGTGTCACACGGGCGCCTTGATGGTGCAGTAAATGAATCACAAATTAAAAAATATATATAAAAAAATGTCCATAGAAAATTTTACTTTCCAATGTACGTTCTCATCATATCTTTAATCTGCTTCTTATAACTATCCGTTTGAGAATGCAAATCGTATAATACACTCAGAAAAATAATACTCAGACAAAACACAATCTTTTTTAGTTTAAATATTCGTTTTTTAAGTGAAAATTTAATAAAATTTAAATTTGTTCCATTTACCATTAAAAAATTAAATTTTTGTATACAAAGATATTTGCTTTTGTTATATTTTGATACATTACTTCAATCCAAAATAATAAAATTAAAAAAAAATACTTATAAACATATTTTTGTTTCCGTTTCCAATTAAAATATATATAAAAATATAATCCAAAATAATGAAACTTAAAAAAAATGTTTCTGAACATGCATTTGTTTCCATTTCCAATTAAAAAATGATTGAATTATTTTCACTTGTTATATTTTAATACATTACTGTATACACCTTCAAACAAAAATAATGAAACTTAAAAAAAAAATATATATACATATGTATAAGAAAATTTAAAAAAAATACGCCGTTTCTGTTATTTTATCTTAAGACTTAAAGTATTTTTAATAAGACCTATAAAATGCTTCGAAATAAATATAATATATTAAACTTGTAGGAAATATATTTAATTTGAATATAAAAATATATTTAGATAAACTGTTTTCATATTTATGGTAAAATATAAGTGAACCTAAGAACCTTTATGAACATATTAATGGAGAAACGGACGTGGCAAGATCGATTACAACGAAAAATGTGTTTATCCTACTAATATATCTACAATACCAAACAAGCTTTCTAAAAGCCATTTTTATAGACCAACTATGGCCTATTCATTATTCTTTCCCTACCTTTAAATTGGCATCTACAGCCGCAAAACATTCCTGCCCCGACCTCCCACATTTAATCCTTAAACAAAAAAATATATAAATAAGAACTTTAAATTTTTAACGCTTGGCTTGGCCTCAAGGATCGCTTTGTGTGTGTGTGTGTGTGTGTGTGTGTTTTTGCTACTTGAGCCATTTGCCAGACAGAGCCAGGCCAACCAGCGTTTTCAGAGGAATAGGTCAGTACGGCCGAGTGAGTGTTTGTGGAGTGCACGCCAGTGCGAATGTGAATGTGAATGTGCCAGAGTGAATGCATTCTAAGTTTTCAAGTGTATATGCTGTAATAATTTTCGAGTTAAAACAAAGGCAGAATGGGAACAGCACATGCTACTGCCACGTAAGTGCCCCGGGGGCAGGACTCGCCCGGACCGCACCCCTCTCGACCACAACTAGCCTCACACCCTCTCACGTTACCCATGCCATGACCACGATGCAGTTGCCCTCTCCGAAGCGGGGTCAATGACAGCGCAGAAGGTCAAACGAACGCATCGCGAGCTAGGGAACTATACTATCCCTAGGACTACGCCAGGATATCGCTGATATACGACTTCGATTTCGCACGCAGCATACTCGTAGAAGGGGGACTCGCAGGACAAACTTTGGAGCGAAAGAGGACCAGTACACAAGTGATTAATATCCCCCCTGGTTGCACGGCAGCTGCTGCCAAAGTATCTCCTAGATAAAAGTTAATTTCTGCCCCTCTGCCCGTGCCTCTGACCCTGCCACAGCGGACTGCAGCAGGAGTCCAGGGTCCAGGGTCCAGGGGCCAGGGTCCAGGCAGCTGATGAAATGTACGCTCAACTTCCGCTGCAAGTTTTGCTTTTTTGGATTTCTGTACCTCACGACGATGCCGATGCTGACCAGAGAGTAGGAAATCTTTTGTAATCGTCCGATAACCCCGACGAGTGCAGAACTTGAAACTCAACCCTTAAGACCAGGAGAAGCACAAGCGAATCTCTGGGGCTGGAGGCCGGAGACTGGAACAATGCCAGCGACAGCGACAGCGACTGCAATGCAATTGCATGTCCAGCCTAGCAGGATGCCAGGCAGTCGAGCGGGCATCCAGGCAGGTCCTTGCCGGCAATTAGAACGCCGCGCCGATGGGAAGGCCCTGCTCGCGGGTCTTCCATTTTGCTGTTGTTTACGAGTATTTACATATCAAAATGGCATTATAATGCGAATAATGGCGAAGGGATTGAGCGGTTCCTGCAATGCAATCGCTGCTTGGCCTGCATTCCTATTGTGCAAAAAGAGAGAGCTACACAGAGCACAAGAGCGAAAGAGAGGCAGCGAATGAATCCTTTTTAATCCATCTATATCTTTTGTGCCGCTCAAAATAATAAAAAAAAAGGAAAAAGGAGAGAATGCTGCAATGCAATGACCGGACCGGACCGGACTGGACTGAACCGCATGGACAACGGAGGGGCCATCGAACACAACTTCCAATTCAAAACGCATAACGAACATTAAGGCCGCAAGGAGTCCATTGTGCAGGCCGACTGACAGACAGGAAGCAGGATAGGCCAGAGATGAAATTAATACGCATAAATTACATGCCACATAGGACGAAGATGGGACCCTGGGAAAAACTTTTGCCACGAATGCAGGAGTTGCAGGAGTTGCAGGATTTCCAGGAGGATTACTGTCTGCAGTTGATGGACCATAAATTGCTTAATTTAATATAATTTAATTCAATTTATTTGGTATGTAAATTTCATTAAAACAAAACAAGTTATTTATTGCCAAGAGAATTATTTAATTAGCTTCCGATGTGACAGCCAGGAAAGGCAGTTGGCCAACTGACACCCAAAGTTGGTAATTCTCGAGAGTCGATGCCATTGGGCTTTGAAGGATGAGCAAGAGCCCTAATTAAAAACATTTTCGAAACGGCACATAATGCAAAAGTTGGGGCCACACTGGCCGTTAGAAGAGGTAGCGTCGACAGAAGAACACGACAGGAAGGAGCAGGAGCAGGAGCAGGAGAGGGAAAAGGAAAAGAAGGAATAGGACTGCAATTTGCTGAACTTCTGCTAACTACATGAACGGACCGAGGTCGTCGCTTGTCGGCCATTCCGTTTCCGGTCGGGCTTGGCTATTGTCGTAGGTCCTCGAGGCACAGGGAGCACAAGTCAGTCGAGCCTGGCTAGGCAGGCGGCCGGCCACTTGCCACAGGGCAATGTGCTAGCCGAAGGAACCTGCCGGAGGAGGACACGCCATATGCGAAGAACGACAACAATTGAATTACAAAATTATTTGCTGCTGCTGTCGTCGTCCACGTCCTCGTCCTCGTCTGACTTGAAGAACTAGTTGTGTCTGACTACACAAGGATGGCAGGACAGGGGCAGGGGCAGGGGCAGGGGCTGAAGCTCAAGTGCCACTTGGCTGGGGCAAAGGGGACATGTTTTCTAAAACGGAAATTAGGTGACAGGACGCGAAGAGAGGGGCCCAAGCTGGTCCTTGGGTCAACTTTAATTGCTGCTTTGTGTGTCTGTGTGTCTGTGTGTGTGTGCGAGGAAGTTGTTGGCCTGTCAGAGGTTTTTGCTGCTGCAGAAAATAAAGTTTCGTTTTGTGGGCAAATGAAGATTGATTTGATGGCCAGACGCAAGAGCATGGCAGCAGCAAGAG